TCACAGAGGTCTGTGTCCAAGCACATTAATAGAGAGGCGAAGGGAAGGAAAAGATGTGGTAGAAAAAAGTGTACAAGCAAAAGGGATAACCGCACCCTGGAGAGGATTGTGAAACAAAACCGATTCAAAAATGTGGGGGAGATTCACAAAGAGTGGACTGCAGCTGGAGTCAGTGCTTCCAGAACCACTACGCACAGACGTATGAAAGACATGGGTTTCAGCTGTCGCATTCCTTGTGTCAAGCCACTCTTGAACAACAGACAGCGTCAGAAGCGTCTCACCTGGGCTAAAGACAAAAAGGACTGGACTGCTGGTGAGTGGTCCAAAGTCATGTTCTCTGATGAAAGTAAATTTTGCATTACCTTTGGAAATCAGGGTCCCAGAGTCTGGAGGAAGAGAGGAGAGGCACAGAATCCACGTTGCTTGAGGTCCAGTGTAAAGTTTCCACAGTCAGTGATGGTTTGGGGTGCCATGTCATCTGCTGGTGTTGGGCCACTGTGTTTTCTGAGGTCCAAGGTCAACGCAGCCGTATACCAGGAGGTTTTAGAGCACTTCATGCTTCCTGCTGCTGACCAACTTTATGGAGATGCAGATTTCATTTTCCAACAGGACTTGGCACCTGCACACAGTGCCAAAGCTACCAGTACCTGGCTTAAGGACCATGGTATCCCTGTTCTTAATTGGCCAGCAAACTCGCCTGACCTTAACCCCATAGATTTTCTATGTGGTATTGTGAAGAGGAAGATGTGATATGCTAGACCCAACATGGCACTGAAGCTGAAGGCCACTATCAGAGCAACCTGGGCTCTCGTAACACCTGAGCAGTGCCACAGACTGATCGACTCCATGCCACGCCGCATGGCTGCAGTAATTCAGGCAAGAGGAGCCCCAACTAAGTATTGAGTGCTGTACATGCTCATACTTTTCATGTTCATACTTTTCAGTTGGCCAAGATTTCTAAAAATCCTTTCTTTGTATTGGTATTCAGTAATATTCTAATTTTCTGAGATACCGAATTTGGGGTTTTCATTGGTTGTCAGTTATAATCATCACAATTAAAAGAAATAAACACTTGAAATATATCAGTCTGTGTGTAATGAATGAATATAATATACAAGTTTCACTTTTTGAATGGAATTAGTGAAATAAATCAACTTTTTGATGATATTCTAATTATATGACCAGCACCTGTAGTGGTTATATTGGTAGAAGGATGTTGGAGATGGAGCTGCCGGTCAAGAGGAAGGCCAAAGAGGAGATATATGGATGTGCTAAAAGAGGACATGAAGTTAATTGGGGTGAGAGTAGAGGATGCCGAGGATAGAGTTAGGTGGAAACAGATTCGCTGTAGCGACCCCTAACGGGAACAGCCGAGAGAAGAAGAAGAAGATTGTTAAAGGCATTCTGAGAGAGTAATCATAAACGCAAACTTCACCCTCCAGTCACTAGGGGGCGATAGTAGCAATCTGGTTTGTAATTGTGTCCCATTCAAAACCTTTAGACAAATAGTAAATTAGAACATCCAACTCAACTATACATCAATGGCAGATATATAAAAATCAAAAGTGAATATAATGTATATTATTAGATTGATACATATATACAATCTCCTAAAAGTAAGACTTTAAATTCCCAGACAAACGTTCTAGGATGTATGCCTTTCATGATTTATTACGTTATTTTTTTTTTCTTATCCAAGTGCTGTGACTTGAACGTAACATCATTCATTAATGATGGCGCCGGCCAAAAAACGCAACGTGAGTTCGGTAAAATCAACACAAATAAACGTAAAAACAGCTAAAATCGACCTTAGCTGTAAAGTGGAAAGTATACTTAAGAGCAGAAAACATGCTAACGACGTTTTTGACATCCTCGAGTTCCTTCAGGTAAATATACACAAATAGACTCAGTTGTTAGAGCATTACAACTGAAAGCGTGCTAATTAGTCAGGCTTTTATCGTTACCAAGCACGTCGTCTACCATATTTAACTCATTAAAGCACTACTCTGCTTGTGTTTGTAGTCAGAAAAAGAGAAGGATGTTGTCAGTGCTGTCAGTGTGTGCAGTAAATTGTTCTGCACTTTGTTGGAGAGGAAAGAACTGTTCATGGGAAAACTGCTTGGAGAGGAGGAGGCGCTGAGTGGTCAGTACAGGCTAATTATCCATTATTATTAACCCTGGATACCAGAAATCTTGCTAAGTCGCACTGATACAGTAATGTCTGTACCCTTGTCCGGTCCAGGAAAGTGCAGTGCTGAAGAGAAGTATCGCATCTTCATGAGACACCGTTACAACAGTTGTGTTGAGATGTTGCTTGAGCACCTCAGCCATGAAGGTTACAGCGTCAAGGTGAGTTGACATGTTTAAATTCTTCACCATAAGTCACACATTTACAAAAAAAGACTTGCATAGCACAAGTGATGCACAGAGAAACAAAAATAAAAAAAACCCTCAAGACCAACCAGTGTGCTTGAGTCAAAATCCTCTGTCACACTAATAACATAGTCATAAATAACTGACCAAATGCAGGAGAGTGCCTTGTGCTGCCTGATGAAGTTTGCTGCAGCAGAAGGACAGCATCCTTTAGAGGACTTGGACTGGAGTGAACACTACAGCTTCCCAAGGGAACTCATCCAGGTAGGGTTTTGTATCACGCAACCCCATCCATCAGCTATAGAGGACATGAAAAATAATATTTTTTATTAGTTCTGCTATGTGAGTTCAGTAATTTATCAAAGATCAGAAATAAGGCAGTGTTTTTAAATGTTTTTGAACAAATGAACCTTTCACAGGCACAGGCACCTTTCTGATATTTTTGTTTTATTCCTTGATCAGGCTGTGGTAGAGAGATTGCTGTCCAAATCTACAGACAACTCCCTGCTGATCTCCAGGTTCCAGGAGTTCCTCGAGATGGAGGATGTACGCTATTATGTCATGAGCTCCATCCGAGAGAATGTGGGCAAAGTCATGGACAAAAGTAAAGGGGTTGGTGAACTTGGCTCATCTGCTGTCTTTTTTTATGGAGCAAAGATTCCTTGGTGTGCTGACTACTGTTGGGTTGTCTTGTTCCTCACAGGCAGTGGTGCCCATATACCAGAACAATCTGTTCACCCTCATGTCCAGCATTAGTATGCCAAGCCAGGAGTCAGAGCTCTCCAACTTCATGGTCAAACAGGAAGGTGAGACCTACTTTTTGGAAGTTTCCAGAATTAATACATTGTCAGTTTTCTCTTCGATGATGCTTATCTGTCATTGTGTTGGGAGAAAAGTTATTTTTGTTCTGTACAAGAATGTTATTAAAACAATATGGATTTGTTTTTCAGCCAAGCACGAGGATTGGAAAGCTGCTAAACTAAATGTGGGTAAAATATTTTTAATCAGACCTTCACATTTTTGCTTAAATAACACAAATAATTATTTTAAATGTTGTACTTCATTACAGGAACACAAACGTGTCTTTGAGAGGATGTGGCTTGGCTTTCTCAAGTATAAGGTACTGTAGAAACTGTTACTGCTTAGACATGTCTTAATATTTTCAAAATATTAAACAGATTTCCACTGTTTGTCTTTAAACATTGGACTCTGTACTGTCAAGATTATACCTTGTCTCATTAGTTTTTCATCTTTCTGTTGTAGCTGCCAAGCAGCATGTATAAAAAGGTCTTGGTGATCCTCCATGAATCCATTTTGCCCCACATGAGCAAACCCACGCTGATGATTGACTTCTTAACTGCTGCCTATGAAGTTGGTAGGTTGTGCATGTGGCTTAATAGTGGTGGTGCGCTAACAAGTCCATGTTGGCTAACACTAACTACTTTAAAATACCATATTGGCATTTAAGTCTGGTTGTTATTGTCATTATTATTACTAATATTATTTCTGTAGAGTGACAGTGGTTAACCATGATATGGCATTTTATTATGTTTCTGTTGAACAGGTGGGGCAATCAGCCTGCTGGCCCTTAATGGCCTTTTTGTTCTCATACATCAACATAACCTGTGAGTAGTATATGAAAAATACATTTGTTTGATCACTTTTAATAGTCACATTAATTACAATAATATGCAGAAGAAACGTGTATATAAAATAAGGCTCTGTCCTGAATATGTAAACAACAATAGTGGACTGAGAGATAGTTATGAATGACATAAATACTGAACTGTATGTTGTGTGTGTGTTTGCAGGGATTATCCTGATTTCTACAAAAAGTTGTATAATCTGCTTGATCCTTCTATTTTCCACGTGAAGTACAGAGCGCGCTTTTTCTACCTAGCCAACCTCTTTCTAAGCTCCAGGTAAGATGCTTGACTGAAAATTGATCCAGTTGTAGTTGTCTGGACAGGTATACAGTTGTAGTAAATACTACCTGTAGTACCCGACTTGCAGACAGTTAAATCTCCCAGTACAGCAGCTGCTGATGTGCCCCACTGAATCAAACAGAGGTCAAGTGATACTGCAGCAGTAGCTGCTGAGGAGAATGTATTTTTGTGATTCAGACTGATTTGTGTTTGGAATATTTAAATTGTTAAAAAATGAGTTGCCATTCAAGATAATGACCATAAAAATTCCCAAAAGCATTTATATGTTTGTAATTTTAATGGGTGTGTGTGCGTGTGTGTCTGCTTTTGTCCAGCCACTTGCCAGTGTACCTAGTGGCTGCATTTGCCAAACGCCTGGCTCGACTGGCTCTGACAGCACCGCCTTCAGCCCTCCTTGTAGTGCTGCCTTTCATCTACAACCTGATCCGTCGCCACCCATCTTGCAGAGTCCTTATTCACAAGCCCAACACAGACGGTGGTGAGTCTCATTTATGATCAGAATTTGTAAATTATTGGTTTGTAACTCTTCAAAATGTAATAGATTTTGGTGATCACTCCAGATGATTCTAATATTTATGACAGTTTGTAAGAATTTTACTGTGATGTACAATATTTTTCTACAATCCAAGAAATGTATAGATGTTTGTTTATTGGTTGTTCCATTCCAGTTTTTTTGGCCCCAATACCGATCTGGTTCCTTTCATAAAAAGCCTATAACCTATTCCAATCCAATGCTTATATTTACCTACAGTAAATAGTAAATGTTCATTAAATATCTGACATGTTGAAACTGAAATTAATCTGGCACACTGTATTTTTAGGAGATGTTGGACATACTGAATCAGGCCTTTGTTCGAAAAATTTTGTTTATCAAATTAAATTATTGATATAAATAAAAGAACTGGGAGCTGGACAAGATACTCTCAGAACTACAGACTCATTACAGGGCAGATACTTACTACTACTTCATATTTGTATGTGGCAGTGATACCTAGTATCGTATCGGGTCATCGCTAGTTTGTTTCTGTTCATAATGGCAGAACCTGTGGAAGACCTATATGTAATGGATGAGGAGGATCCCGCACAGTGCCGTGCCTTAGAGAGCAGTTTGTGGGAGATTAAGGTGTGTATGTGACAGTTTCTTAGCTTTTTTTTCATGTAGATTTGAAAATAAAAGTAAAAAATATTACAAATATTTAGGAGTCTGATTTAATGGAAGTACATTTATTTTGGAGTAAAATTCACACTCTGCTTTTCTCCTTTTCTGTAGACACTGCAGAAGCATTACTATCCAGATGTGGCCAAAGCTGCCATGTTGATCAACACACCCCTGTCAGAACAAGAGGATGACATCAGTGAGATGCTGGAGATAACAACATATGAGGTGATGCTTCCAAACTTAGCTGGTTTCTCTAGGTGTTTAGTGTAGTATGTTTGATTGTTTAGTAACAGTTATATAATGTTGTCTGTTAGTGCATACAAACTAAATGGAAGATAACGCTAGAAATGATAGTATCTCTCATGGATAACATCCCATGTTCTTATCCACAGCTGATGGAGAGAGACCTGAAGCAGACCCAGAACAAGAGCATCCCCCTGGAGTTTGAAACGGCCACACAGTTACTAAAAGGAGGGGGCGATGTGTTAGGACAGCACTTTTGTCTGAATTAGAATAAGTTATAAACAAGGAGACTGTATTCACTGTGTCATATAACTGTCAGGAACCTGTTCATCTGAATGTTTACCACATTTTGAACTGAACAGAATGTACGGACAGACCTCTTTTCAGAACAAAAAAATGATAATGAGCAGCAGAAAGACATTTGATCTGCAGCTGTGTTAACATGCTTTTCTTGACAGTGCCCCTGTGTGTGACTAATAAAAATCTTTCCAAAGCTCACTGTCTACTCACACCTTTTTGATATTGTTAACTAAATTATTCATAAGTGACTGGGATTTAATTTATAATAAATTTTGATTTTTTTGTACAAGTCTTTATACTGTATGTCCAAAATGGTCTGAGACACACTGTGGCATATCATCTAGCTGTGCAGCTCCACAGAGCTTTGTGGCCTCTATTCCATTTGCTCTTTTGTTTTGTTTTTATGGCACTTAACCACTGAGTTTACAGTTTACTGTTCCAGTAGCAGCAGGTTGCTATTTTCAGCTGCAAAGCCATGCTAAACCAACATTTTCTACTTTAAGACCCATGTTTTCTCATAAGTTAATAACACCAGAGATAAAAGTAGAGTCCATATAGATGTTTCTGAGGTGGCCTGAAGCACATCTTCAACTAAATGTTAATGTGTCTGCTGGATGTGTAAATAGGCAATCTTTTGTGAGCATGTTAGCCTAAAAGCTCTATAAGGCAATAATCATATGTACAGGCTAGATTTGTGTTTTTAAAAACACCCAGGTGTTATTATGTATTTGGACTCAAAGATGGGCTGGGAACAAACTGAATGTTAAAAATAAGTTGGCCTGTTCTACCGCTGAGTCCTGGAAAGAGCTAATCAGGTGCAGTAAACCCCCCTGTGTGGATGGACCATGTGTGCATTAATCATTTGTTACAAAATAAACAGTAATTAAATAGCTACTATAGGCATTAGCTTACCAGTGGGTTTTGCTGCAAGAAATGATGAAGAATCCCAGTGACACCAGATCACCCCTCATTTCTGATAGAGGAAAAATGTTTTTTTTTTCCATTTTCCATTTAAAATTCTTCCTTTTGTTAAGTGTGCCATATGGTCACACAGCAGGCAGCTTAGGATATAAAAACACTGTGAAAGAAAAATTGCGAACCATACCAGACTTCTGTTAGAAAAGAGCAAGTCATATCACAGAGAAGCTGTCTAACAACTAAGGCCTGTCTGGGGACAGCTACAGAGTTTGCAGGGAACCTCTAATGCATCACAGCTTTTGGATTTCATTATGTTTATGTATTTTTAAATTCGTTTTGTGGGTTTTGCTCTTGCGGATCACAATGCACCAGACAGAATCTGTCAAAACATAGGATCGCTGTGAAGAGGCTGAGAGTAACAGAAGAAGACCTATAAAGATTGGTAAGCGATCGATTTGGTTTAGCCTATTGAATTATATACATGTTATGGAATTTAGTTTATCGGGTGGAACATAATATTTTATATATAGGCCTACTTTGTCCTACAACGTGCAGTTTCACAAAGTTTTTTCTCCAGTCACTGGAATTCCTCCACTACAGACAAATTGTATAGGTTACATTATAAACTTGACATTCTGGACTTCTATAGAATTTACAGTTGCTTTTGTAAACCATTCTTGTAAAGGGAACTTTTGATGAATTGTTGCTGTGACTTTTAAAATAATGCCAGTGCAGTTGTACTAATTAGTGCTCAAGTCAAGTGTTGCAGCAATGAAGAGTTGTTCCAGAATCAAAGTAGTTAGCTGCATGTGTTCACGATACATACTAATATACTACTAATACCATAGTATAAACAATCATAGTAATGGACTAACCGTGACTAACCATCTCCATTCAGGTCTAGGTGATGATGCAGACACAGTTCTCCTCTCACTTTGGTAAATCTGCATGAGATGCTTTAGCAGCACTGCAGTTTCACAGAGGTCTTGGCAGGAGGGGAAATTTCAGACTCAGACTGAGCTTTGTCTTGTTGTTGAGTCTGTCCTCATCCTCCACGGTCACTTGCAGGGAAGCAGAAGCTGTCCAAGGTGAGTCAGCAGAGAGAAGCTGAGCATTTGGCTGAGGCTCTAAGGGAGACAGAGGGAGAGGGACCTGATTGTTTCTGGAGTTTTCTTCCAGTTACTTGTGACAAAAAACAAACAAAACCAATAACTGTTCCTTTTTTGTCTATCAGTTGACACTTTGTGTCAAGAAAGCAACTCAGTACTGTATATTCATGTTCTGCTACTTCAACTTCACTACATTTTAGAGGCAAAATATTGGACTTTTTACTCCACTATGTTTATTTGGTAACCTTAGTTACAAGTTACTATTCAGAATCTGTATAACAGAACAAAATACGGTATAAGATTTTATTGATCTCTTGTGAGAAATTCACAAGCTACCCAGCAGTACTTCAAATTATAAGCATGTAATGTATAGAAAGTAATGTGTCAGTAATTATAATCTAATAATATTATACACATCGATGTGAAAGGTACTATTCTGCATACTTCCACCTGCTGCTCTTTACCTCCTGGTCTCCTGTCTATATATTCTCCTCCCTTCCCTCCATCTGGTTGCTGGCTCATCTGTTCTCCATGCTTCGTTGCTCTGTCACCCGTCTCCCCTGCGTACCACACCCTGCCTGTCCACTTTCTAAGTTTTCATATCACTTGCCTTGGTTGCTGTTGGGCTGTTCTTTTTGAGTTTTTCCTGTCAGCAAGATTCTTGATTAGTTCTCCGGTTCATTTGAGTTATTTAGAGTTTGTTTCATGTAGCTCCCTGACCGTTCTGTTTAGATATTTTTTTTTTTTACCTGTATTGTGAAGTCCTGTCAGGTTGAGCATCTCTTTACCCCTTGGTTCCTCTTCATTTATGTTATACTGAAAAAACACTAGACTCTAGACCGTGTCTGCATTTTGGGTCCTTTCTTGCCTGAAACCTAATATTTGACATTGTAGTATTGCTTCATTTACTTGTGTAAACAAGCTGAACTTGTTCTACCACTGATGAAAAAAGTAAGAATATGAATTTGCTCTTTTTTTTTATTATAAAACAGACTGTCTAAAAGACCAAAAAGAGGGGACAGGAATCAGCTGTGTGAGTTGATTATGATGCAGCAGTAGTCATATAAGTTAAATCTCCTGAGGTACAAGCAGCATTAACTTTTTTAAGCCCATGTGTCAGTGTACCGTGTTATAGTTAATATGAATACAGCATTCCTGTGTCCTGTAAGTGTGTGTTTGCACAATGGTACAAAGCATGTCAACATAAATGGAGATTTAGCACCAACTGCTAAAAGCTAATGTGTTTTATCCACGCTATCCCCATCACTGTGTTGCTGTGACACAGTAATCCTCTATTATGTAAGAAGGGAGCTCTCTCTCACTAAGCACAGTCATACACATGCACATGGGCACACACTGTATGTCACCTGCAAGAACGGATGCAGTGGGCAACAATGCCACACTGGGATAATGGTTTCTGTATGTGGCTGATCTTGCTGTCAGGAATTGATTATGAACTTAAGAGAAAACTAATTATTTGATTTTAATGAAGGAAGATAAAGGAATTTTTCAGTAAGTGTCAAAGAGCTATTTGCTAGATTTATTAGTACCATGTAGATGCAATATACCATTTTTTGTTTATTCTTTCTTAGCAACAGTAGTTACAGGGTTTGTTTTTTTGTACGTGCAGTGGAACATTCTTATTTCCTATGTTAAAATTGATTCATTCAGGTCAGTCTTAGTATAGTCTTTGGTGATAATACAGATTATCCTCATGCATTTCATTGGAAAATGTATTTTTTACATATTCTGTTTTGTTATTGTCATAATTGTTGAACATGTACAGTTTGCTGTTTTGGTTTTGCTTAAATAATGATTTGAAAATAATTTTTGTATTGATGGATTTAATATGTATTGTTTTAGATGGCAACCTAACAAGTTCACAAAGGTCAGAAAAAATGCATTTAAAAATGGAAAAACTGAAATTTGATAAAATGTTATGGGGGAAAATATTACTCTTACAATTGCAACTACTACATTCAGGTAAATTGTCCAGCTACTAGCTTGTAACTGTACCAAAGTAACAAATATAAAACACTGGCTTGCAGCGGGGGTTCACTATGTGTTAATGGTGTTTGTGTGGGTTTTGCAGGTGATAATGCGGGATCATACACTGAGCGCTAATGTAGAGGAGGTGCTGAGGCAGTCCCAGATGGAGTTAGAGTGGTTCCAGAAACAGCTGGACATGATCACCACCAGAAACATGCACCATCACCACCTGCACACCAAGGGCAAGGTACTGTGGTATCACATGCTGTAGCCCTGTATTAATAGCTACTAGAGTTAAGATAAAACTTACTGTGGGGGCATTATCTTTAATCTTAGTCTAAGATAAATGGAATCTACTGTTTGTTTATAGGATTTGAACACCATCTGATAGGCCTTTGATAAAAGTCTCATTGGATCTGTGATTGTTGAATGCTAACAGAATAATAGTTAGCTTAGAGCAAACAGAATATCTCAGCTTTTCAGAAAAATCGGTGAATCAAAATATGTGAAAGTACACAGTAAAATGAAGGCTAGCATGGAGCTGGACTGAGCTCTGTATGATCTGCATTGATGCCTTTGATTCCAAACCACAAATGCATGGTTAACAATTGCTAGTGTGCAAGTAATATGTGGTAGTACTCTTTTAAAAATAAATATTAGGGCATAGTTCCAAATTCAGGGTTAACCTTGGAACATTGCCCTTTAATAATAAGAATCTTGCATAAGAGTTTGTATTGTTTTTAGTCTTGCTAAAATGAGACAAACTGCTTCTAGTAATGGTGCTCTTGAGAGAGGGAATTTTGGGATAAAGCACCAAATTTGTGGACTGTCATCTTAAAAACAGAGCATCTGCTCATCCTATTGTGACAGAATTCAGAACACATCTTTGTGATGCATCACCTTCTCTGATACATGGCACTGCATAGACCTATACAGAAACAGATCTGTGCAGTGCCTTTAATTGAGATATGTACTGAGGTGTATACTTTATTCAGTGCAAACTCTGACTAAATATTTAAGGATAAGGATAATCACCTTTATTTGGCCAAGTATGTTACACACAAAGAATTTGTTTCTGGTACAGAACCGATGGCAGCCATCTGCGATGCCAACTCAACCAATGGCTCTAACCATCAGGGCAACTTGGGGGGTCAGTGTCTTGCCCAAGGACACTTCGACACATGGACTGTAGGGACCGAGTTTTGGACCTCCGACCCTCTGGTTGGGAGTCGACTGCTCTACCCATTGAACTGCAGTCGCCCTTGGTCCTGTGTGGTATAAATTTCTAATTCCTCTTTAAGGGACACCTAAATTCTAGAATCACTAAAAGAACTGAAACAGTTTTTTATAGTACATGTGAGAATTATACCTCATTTTGAATATATTATGGCTCACAAGGTCTGTTTGCTGTATTTGCTGCTCTCTGGAGGCAGAACAAGCCAAACCATGTTATGACACTGTAACAAAGTTATGATGTGATTACAACATGTTTGCTGTCCTCGATCAGCAGCGTTACTGGCAAATGGTATTTAATCTCATTCCAGCTGTGCACATAGATGGCCTCCAGTTATTACAGTTTTTAGGCTGAGTTTTATGTTTCTGTTTTCAGTAATCTTATTTTACATGAATGTAACAAACATGCACCTGTCTGCTGTTGTGTTTTAACTCGTTTTAACTCCTATGCTTTAAGGCTTTTTAGAGTTTTTAACAACAACTGGTATGCCATTGCCTGATTCAGATAGTCTACCTAACGGAGAATTTAATTCTGCTTTTATAGTAGGAGACAAGAGTCAAGGAACAAACACAAGTTGTAAATCTGTTGTTCATCCTTGCCTGTCGTTAGTCTTAAGGGATAAAAACACAAAAATAAAAGCACTTCCATTGTTCACTGAAATACAGGAAATAACTATATTTTAATCTTATTTTCCTTTCAAAGTAGGCTATATGCATATTTATGCATGTCCATTTTGTATTTTATTACACAATTAAATGTCTCTTAGTTCTTGGGTGGAAAAAAAAGCAGCATCCCAGGCATGCCATTACTTTTATTCTAGTCCGAGTCTTTTACAAATATGGCCAGAAGAGGACAGCATACCCCTGAGAACATATTTCAGCATTAATAATTCATCAGGTTGAGAACAGACGAGGCCGAGATGTGGCCCAAAGAGAACAGCTTGCTTAAGTTGTTAAATTATACTTTGCCTTCAGCTGTTTGCACATTTAAAGGGTTCATTGCATATTTCTGCCCAATCCAGTTTCCATCTGTTTCTGAACTCGGGTCTCAGAGGGCTTCATGTCATGCCTGAAAACCAATTCACTCGTGAGTAATGCGTCTACAGTAAGGATGGGAACAGACAGTGAACAAGTGTTGCTAGGAAACGGAGCGGAACTGTCCATACGTTCTGCTTTCTCCTCCCATTCACACGCACTTAGTGTTTCTGTATTTCTGTCCTCTCCTCTGACCTCATGTGTCTCTCTGTCCTAGTGTTAAATAGAGAACAGCTATCAATAGAATACATTCGAGTGTCTGCAGCTGATGTGACCTCACTAATACCACCACACTGATTTAATTTGGGTCCCCTGATCAGGGATTTAGAAGAGGTGAAGAGTGAAGTGAGATGTATGTATGTGAGCTCTGTCCAGGAACATGACAAGGCAAATTGGATTTAATGCTAGAGGAAAGTTACAGTACAAGTATTAATACCAAGTAGGAGCAAATGACTAAGATATAAGTACTTGACATATAAATATGGGATGGAGAGATGTATGGATCATTGCTTCTGTCAGCATAACAGAAAATCATAATTTTCTGTCTATGAGAATGTGAGACACAGAGGAGACAGGGCTTGCTAGACCACAATCTGCTCTGCTTGGATAAGACGTGCTTATCTCTTTTTGTGCATGTGTGACATTGTTTTTGGTCAGTTGAACAGAGTGTGTACTTGTCTACATATAAGCAAACCAGAGAGAGAAAAGAAAGGAGGTTGATGTGGAAGAATGAGATAAGGCATTAAAACATTTCGGGATGGGAACAAAGGAGTGTGTGAGAGTGCCATGAAACCACTGTAGCTGTTTTTGTTCTCACTGTTGAGGGGAGACCTCGAGCTGCGTAAGGGCCAGGCAATCTACTAAAGGTACAGATTGGAAACACTCACCGTAACTGTACACACAGTCATACATGGGCATACACATGTTCACACAGACATATTGTATCACCTGTGCCTTTCACCGCCACCTTATCATGTTATGGAAAGGGAAGAGTCATTTTGAGACAGAGGGATATTGTCATTTATCTACAGTATATCACCAAAAGCATACAAGTCTGCGTGAGGGCATTTCTATCCCATTCCCTTGTTTAAGATTGTTAAATGCTGTTGATTTTCTTAATCTTAAAACATAGAATTGATATTCTTGATGCTACTGCAGGTGCTAAGTAGCAGGAAAGTCATTGTGAATTATTTTTCTCCTGGGTGCTTGACTCTAGATATAGAGCAGCCTGTCTACATCCACTTCTCTGCTAAACACATACAAAGGCTTGAAAGTGGAGGCTTGAAGAAACTGTTTTTTTTATTGACACTGTCAGTCACTGTACATCCACAGCTGACTGCATCAGGCAGCACTGAGGCAACTATTTCACTCACACACCAGATGGCGATATGACAATCTATTTAAATCACTCCTAATGAAAATAAGATTACCTTAGGTTATTATCCTGGTTAGCTGAGCACAAACTACTTAATCACTGTGCTCTTGTTTCAAATCCAGCCACTACATGCTATTTTCCTAATCCATTCTGTGTTCCTAAAGTCATCCATAACAGCAGAAATTCCATAACAATATGAGAAATATAACATTAGTTTTTGACATCCTGAATTAAAATCAGTAGCTATTAAGTACAGCAAAAGTAGATAGGAGCCTTTCTGTGCATGGCATAAAGCCCTTATTCCATAATTATATGCTGTAACATCTTAAAAGCTGCCCACGCGGTCTGATTTGCTTAATAAACAGTTTACCTCAGCCTCAGCCAAGAACGGCATCTACAGATGACTAATCATCACATAATGGCTAGCATCATACCAAAGTCTGGACGTTGTTGTAATATTTGTAAAATGTGGAGTAACTAAGCAGTATTTGGAATGCTGGCTCCTTATTACTTATGCACGCTGAAAGGCTGGCTTTCTGAAAGTGTACCTGGGGATGGATGCATGGTCCCGAATATTTCTCTATACACT